AGAAAGAAAGAAAGAAAGAAAGAAAGAAAGAAAGAAAGAAAGAAAGAGGAAGAAGAAAGGAAGGAAGGAAGGAAGGAAGGAAGGAAGGAAGGAAGGAAGGAAGGAAGGAAGGACAGAAGGAAAGGGAAAGTAAGAAAACAGAAAATATCTTTTTTAAGGATTGTCATTTCACATGACATTTCATATTTAAGATGAAGTGTTGGGAGGCTGGTGGTTGTGCCTTTATTCTCAGAATGAAATGTAATAATATATATTTTTTTAAAAAAATTACATGAAATGTCAAGTTCCAGAGTGGGAAGAAAGTAGAATGAATCACCAATATTTCTATCTTGACGTTCTCATCGCTTTCAAAACATGGCATCAATATTAGCAATTAATTGGGTCCAATGTTAGAGGGGAGGTTAATATTATAGAAAATTAGCTTCCTTCCATGTTATAATGTCCCCAAACCTAATAGAACAATAAAATGAGTTACGATTTTGAGGCTTGAGCATTAGTCACTTCATCTCTAATTTTTCTATTTTGCCTGAAGAGAAGCTTTTTTTAGAAAACCAACCGTATAATTTTAAACTTTCATGCCTAAATTGGGACTAGAACTCCCTGTCTCCTGGCGATTGGCCCAAAGTCACCCAATTGGGTCTCATTAGAACTCAACATCTGCTGGTTATTGGTCCAGAATCACTTAGCCAGCTTTGATACCTAAAGCGAAACTAGAACTTAAGAGTCTCCTGGTGGTTGGCTGAAAGTCACCCAACCAGCTTTCATGCCTAAGGTGGGACTAGAACTCATCACCTGCTGGTGATTGGTCCACAATCACCCAGACTACTTTCATGCCTAAGGCAAAACTAGAATTCTCCATTTCCTGGTTTTGTGTCTGGTGCCTTTACTGCTAGATCAAAGTCACTTTTCTTCCTATCTTGAAGAGAAATTATTCTGATAACAAAGAAAAAATAATAATATAGGTCAGAGGATCTATTAACTGTACAGACTATTTTTATGACAATTAACATTGGGGGGGGGGCCCTCTTTATTGGAGTCTGTGTCTGAATTAGGCTGACTCATAGGAAACATTTCCAGTCTTTCTAATGCTTGACATATAATTGAATTAGGGTTTCTCTTTCAGAGGAGAAGCATTTGGTGAAATTTTCATGGAAAGGGTTATAATTATGCAGTAATGAGACAGGCAATGGTTTGTGTTTGTGTGTGTGTCTCTCTCTCTGTGTGTATGCTTGTGTGTGTGAGAGAACAACTGGTTTTTCTTCTTTTTTTAATTTTATTGAACTTTTCCACATTTTAAAAACTTCCATACAACCTTTGCAGCATTGTGACATTGACTTTTCCAATTAGGTTAATGTTATGTCTCACCTATATCTACAGGTGAGAATACAAAGTTCCAGTGTTCAAATATTTCAAGCAAAACAAAGCCAGACCCAAAAGAGTTAACTGCACTGTTTCCCAGTTCTTGGCAGTCTTCCCAGAATCTGTCTGGCAATTCGGAATTGTCCATAAATCACAACGCCCGCTTCAAACGTATTCTTTCGAATCCACAAAGCACTTTGCTCCAAGCAAAGATTGAGAGTCAGCACGCCTCCTTAAATCCCCTGTATGGGTGTGTCAGTCTCTCTAATCAATGTCTGGCTTGACGCCTCCCTTCAGATTGTGATTGATGTTTCAATCTTCTCCTAGTTCTAGTGTCAAGCCAACATCTGTCAGTTTTCTCCTCGCTAGAAGCCTCTGGCTCATTTTGTGGATCAGCTGCTGGCATGAACAAAGTCGAAGGTTCTGGAGAGGACTGTCTCTCCGACATTCTCTCATCCTCCTGGCTCACATCTGTGTCCTCTGATAATTCAGACTCCACATTCACAGCAGGCTCCAACCTTCCATCTTCAGAGACATCAGAGTCAAAACTCCCAGCAGGGTCAATCCTTTCAGTCACAACAGGTTAATATACATATTTACATTATTTTTGATTCCTATTGTCTAACCACTTATACCACTGCTCCCAGACCGTATAGTATGCCATATCTTCTCTGTCTTGCAGTTCCAGTGTGACCATTTCTGCACAATCCATTATTTTCTTTATTCTCATACTATCGTGGGGGGTGGGTGGGGGGTGGTACTATCTAATTTCCAACTCTGTGCATAAGCGATTCTTGCCGCTGTCAATATATGTATTATGATATATTTGATTTCTTTCTTA